GGGCCCTTGTATCCTCATCGTACATCCTGATGGTACGGTTAAGTCGGGCCTGTCCCTCTACAGGGGGAATATTCAAAAAGAGAGAAAATAGTCTGGGGACGATTTTTTGAGTACTGATATTTTTTGCCATTTTTGAATATGTTTGGGGTATTTTTAATTTTCCTTCCAAAATCCCCCTGTATGGGGGACAGGCCCGACTTAATGGCAGGGGCCGACTGTAGGGGGTGGGGGACCAGCCTTGAATCGGCGATACATCGCCGATAGTCAGGAGGAGAAAAAACACACAGACACAATTCATCGTCGATTCTCCAAAAGGACGGGGCAGTATGGGAATGGGGGGGAGACGAAAACCCAGAAAATATGGAAAACTATCGGGAATCCTGTTATTTGTGTCAATGTATTCAATCGCTTCGCTCATTCAGCCAGCCCATGTTGCATGATCGCTATTGCTTCGCTGTGGGCCTGGGGCCATTGTGGCGCCGCCGAGGAAGAGGAGGAGGAGGAGGAGGAGGAGGAGGAGGAGGAAGATGAGGATGGGGAAGGGGAGGGGAGAAGGAGGAGAGGATGAGAAGGAGGGGAGGAGGATGAAGATAAGTAGGAGGAGGAGGAGGCGGAGGAGGAGGAGGAGGAAGGGGAAGGGGCGGAGGAGGAAGCCTCTCGTTGGCATCTTGTGTTGCTCTTGGGGCCAAACCGGGTCGTCGTCAAGATGCTTCTTTGGGAGGCCTCTTGGGGTCTTTTGAGAAGCCGTTCGGGGGCACCTGGGAGGCATTTTGAACTTCTAGGGCCTCTTGGGGCGGCCTCTTTTGGGCCTCCTGGGGGCCTCCAGGGGCCTCTTGGGGACCTCTTGGCGGCATCTTGGGGCCTCTTGGGGGCCTCTTGGGGGCCTCTCGGGGCCTCCTTGGGCCCTCTTGGGGCGGCCGTCTTGGGCCGTCTTGGGCGCCTCTTGGGCCGTTTCGGGGCCCTCTTGGGCCCTCTTGGGGCCCTCTTGGAAGCCTCTTGGCCCGTCTTGGGGCGCTCTTGGGGGCCTCTTGGGCCGTCTTGGAGCACCGGATGGCCGAAAAGGCGACAAGGCCAAAATCCTTCCAAAACCATAGTATAATTGATGATTTTGGCCTTTCGGGCCCTCTTGTGTGGCCTCTTGGAGGCCACTTGGAGGCCTCTTCGGCCGTCTTGGGGTCATCATCGGCGTCTTGGAGCGCTCTTTGGGCGTCTCGGGGGCCTCTTGGGCAGTCTTGGGGACCTCTTGGGTCAGGAGGGGGGTAGTCGATTGCGCCCCTCCCCTCGGAGGCCACGATCCTCGTGAGGGGTGTCGAAAAATTGCCCGGTCTGGCATCTCTGATCCGAGTGTCCCGGGGGTTTCCCGGGGGTGTCCCGGGGGTGTCCCGGGGGTGTCCCGGGGTACTTTTCGTCTGGGGACCCCCAGAGGCGGCCCCGCGCGCGCGAACTAGAATATTGTGAATCAGTTACCGGAGATCTTAGCACGCCCTTGGCCCGTTGGGCAGGCGAACGTGTGCGTCCTAAGGCCTCCTCATGAACGGTATTTTCTCGCGATGTCGTGGGCCGTTTTCGTTCCGACGTCGTTCTGCAGCAAGAGGGCGGACTGGAGACAAGAGACGAGGGGAAACGAGAACACACAACGAAAACGAAGAACACTGTTTAGGTCGATCCCTGCTCTGAACCCTCCCTCGGGGCCCCGTATGTGGAGCTCGATTTTCTCCGCGCTGGGGTCGTCGATACACCGGCGACGTCGCGCATGCATCGCCGATGCATCGGCTATGCGTCGCTGATGCATCGGCGATGCGGCGCGATCCTCCGACCCCATCTACAGTCAACTCGCATAGGAAGGATGGGCAACCTTCCAAATGGTACCCTTGCATCGTTCCCTCCTCGGCCCATGCTTGGCTACTTGCGTTGGCCGCGCCCCGCTTGAGAAGCTTCGTAATGGGCGCCCATGGGCCTTGCATCCTTTTCGCGCATCCTTATGATACGGGTCGACTGTAGGTCGGTGGTAGGCCTCGCCCATGCATCCCCAATCCAACAGCGATGTAACGCCGATGCATCGGCGATGCGGCGCGATCCTCCGACCCCATCTACAGTCAACCCGCATGGGAAGGATTGGCAACCTTCCAAACGGTACCCTTACATCCTTCCTTCCTCGGCCCGGTCTTGGCCGCTTGCGCTGGCCGCGCCCCGCTCGAGAAGCCTGGAAAGAGGCGCCCATGGGCCTTACATCCTTACCGCGCAACCTTATGATACGGGCCGAATGTAGGGGGGGGACCGGCCTGGAATCGGCGATTCACCGCCGACAGGTCGGTGGTAGGCCACCGATGGCGAATCCGCACGCTCCTGGGCGGGGTGGGCTGTCGGGCTCCCTGTCTCGCCCATGCATCGCCGATGCATCGACCATGCATCGCCGATGCATCGGCGAGCGGCGCGATCCTCCGACCTCCTCTACGCTCGGACCCCATCCAGGTGTGAGGAGCAGGGCGGGGGAGGGAGGGAGGGAGGGAGGGAGGGAGGGAGGAGGGAGGAAGGAGGAGGAGGAGGAGGAGAGGAGGAGGAGGAGGAGGAGGAGGAGGAGGAGGGAGGAGGGGGAGGAGGAGGAGGAGGAGGAGGAGGGGAGGGAGGAGGAGGAGGAGAGGGAGGAGGAGGAGGAGGAGAGGAGGAGGAGGAGGAGGAGGAGGAGGAGGAGGAGGAGGAGGAGGAGGAGGCCTCGAGTCTTCGGGCCGCCGCGAGGGCGCGGCGCGGGCCGTGCGCGAGGCACACCGCGCGGCGGGCGCCGGTGCCCACGGGCCGCTGGAGGCCGGCGCGCCGTCGGGGCCAGGCGCCCGCGCCGGCGGCGCCGGCGGGGCGGCGCCGGAGCGCGTGGACTGGCTGGCGGTCGGGGCTCAAGATCGACTATCACCACCCACCAAACCACCCCAACCCAACCCGAAGGCTCAGATTTACCCTCGATTTCTAGTTGGGGGGGTTCCGGGAACATCGAACAAACACGTATGGAGCCCATACCCCCACCCCACCCGAAATTCGGGTCTTCGGGTTGGGTTGGGGTGGTCTGGTAGGTAGTCAGACTACAGTCGAGGCGTTGACCTAAGGAACCCTAAATAAGGAGCGAGGCCCCGATTTTCCATAAGTTGAGCTTCGATTTCGTATCGAAAGCCTGAAGCAAATCCAAGGCAAGCTGCGGAACAATCAAGGAACACGGAGCCCCTCCCCAACGAAAAGGGTTCCTTCTTCAGGGCCCCGACTGTAGGCGTTAGGAGTGACCTTTCGCCGGAGTGACCTTTGGTGCGGGCCCAGCGGGGCCCCCCGATCGCCGAGCGCGATGCGGTAGTATAGCGCCTTGCGCGCCTGTGTTTGGCCCCCCCCCGCGGCCCCCAAGCAGCCGCGCGCCAGAGGTCACTCTTGCCCAGGGTCGCTCCAGCTTGTAGCCGAAGGAGACGGGGTCCATGCAAACAGGGGTCATTGACCAGGGGCGAAGCATCCCGACTTGCCTATAGGCGCACCAAAGGATGTTCTAAGAGCCTGCTGTGGGTCGCACGGAATATTCTCAGGACATTTCGGGCTGAGACTGTTTTATGTTCATGCACCAGGCTTATGTTCTAAGAATGTTGTTTTGTTCTTAGACCATCTGGGGGTTACTACGAACGTTTCGTGATAGGCTTAGACAAAAGCCAAGACAAGGCGAGAGACGGGGGTCAATGCAAACGGCCCAGGACCCCCATGTTCGGCCTTGGAGGCCCTCGTTGGGCCTGGGGAGCGTCAAAAAACGACTCGGGACGAGAAACCGGTTCTGCGGAAATTGCCGAGATCTTTGGGGGGCGACTTCATGAACAAATCATGACGTTGGGTCTGGGGACGGGGGTCAGTGCAAACAGGGGTCAGCTAGAACGCCAGATCTTGCGGGATCATGCAGAGCCAGGTGCGCACTGACCTGGGCTTGGGTGCAGGATCCTGCAGAATCTTGCAGGATCCTGCAAGGCCCGACTGACCCGGGTCTGGATCGACCCGGGTCAGTGTGTCTCCGAGGCGGCGCTGGAGACCACGCTGCGGCGGCTGGACCTCGAGCTGCACCCCGACGGCCGCCCTCGGGCGGCGCCGCGGGCCGGGAGCTGCGGCGCAGAGAAAGCGCGGCGGCCGCCCCCTCCGCCGTGCATCTCCCCTTCCGCGCCCACCCTCGACTTCCTTCTTCCGCACCTTCAGGCTTGGACCTTCCGCCCTCTTGCCCTATTTTCGCGAGTTATTTTCAGTTTCCTGGAGTTGTCCTAACTTTCCTCAAGTTCTTCGAGTTCCAAGCCAGTTTTCCGAAGTCATCTGGAGACATCCAGAGACATCTGGAGACATCCGTGTTAAAAACCACGGATATCTATAGATGTCTTTGGACGTCTCCACACACGCGAACGCACCTTCATTCTCGCCACGTACAAATACACCCCCCCTCACCCTCATGTGTCCATCACAAGGCGCCACGGGCAAGACGCGCTTGGGGATCGATAGGTGTCTTGGGATGTTTCCGAATGTCGTGGGATGTATCTGGGTGTCTTGTGATGTCTCTGGGTGTCTCTGGATGTCTTGGGGTCTGGGAATGTCTTGGGGTGTCATGGCATGTATCGGAATGTCTTGGGGTGTCTTGGGATGTCTCTAGATGTCTTGGGATGTCCTGGGGTGTCTTGGGAAGTGTCTGGATGCCTTGGGATATGTCTGGATGTGTCTGGATGTCTTGGGGGATTTCGGCGGAGGCTCGGCGGAAGCTGGCGGAAGCTCAGCGGAAGCCTCGACGGCTCAAGACGGTTGCGTCGCAGCGACGGTCGTGCCAGGTCGCAAGTCCTGGCCAGTGCTTGCCCCCCCTAGTCGGCCGCGCCATGTGGGCCGTGGGGACACGGTGAGGGGGGAGTGCTTCGAGGACCACTGCGAGGTGAGCGTTCGCGGGGTGCCCGACCCGCGAAGACGGCAACACGGTGCTGGGCCGATGTGGTTGCTGGAAAAAGGGCGTACGGGCGATGCGCGGCAAGCGTGCCTTGAGGCGAGCAGTGAGGCTCGCGCTGGTGGCAGGCGTGGCATGGTACCGAGGACAGAGGATTACGCGTGCCTCAGCCGCGCAGTTGGTCACTCCAGAGACTGTCGCGGAGATGGCCCAACTGCCACATCGAGCTGATGATAGAGTACTGGTGAAGGTGAAGAGGGATGATGAGGAACAAGAGCAGCGAGCCACATGGAAGCAGAGAGCACTGAAGGTGTGGAGTTTCAACGTGGAGTCGCTGCGTCGGGTGGGGAGGCTGGACGAGCTACTAGAGTTGGCTCGGAAGGAGAGCGTGGCCACCTTCACAATGCAGGGCACGCAGATGGATCTGGGAAAGACATGGAAGTCGGGTAGCTTTGAGGTGCACTCGCTGGCGAGGTCAGGGCGAGGGCAACGGGACGGATGCGTCACGGCCATCAATCTCAAGTACTTCCAGAAGGGTGAGGTCAGATGTGAGCACGCGTGGTTGGAAGGGCAGCTGCAAGGAGTACGGTTACGCAGGGTAAGCAAGAAGAGGTTCGAGCGGGACATCTACGTGCTGAATGCATACGCCCCCACTAACGAGGCGGGCCATGTGCCCAAAGGAGCTGAAGCTATGGAGTATAGAGAGAACCACCTGGAGGCGGGAGACTTGTTCTGGCAGGTGTGTCGCCGAGCAGTTGGCCAAGTCCCAGCAAGGGCGTCGCTCATTGTCACGCTGGACGCCAATGCACACGTCCCGCCGTTGCTGCCATGGGTGGGGTTCGCTGGCGCGCGTAGGAATGGCCCAATATCAATGCTAACGGCCACGCGCTGATGGAGCTCATGGAGGACTACGGGCTGATGGCGCTGAACACGTTCGGCAATAGAGGAAGATTCAACGGCGCGTGGAGGAGCCCGCAGGGGACGTGGACTACGATTGACTACGTGTTGGTGCGGCGGCGAGGAGGATACGGACATTCGTCGCTTCCGAGGGCTGATCTACCTCTGAACCTGGGCGGCTACAGGGACCACAGGCCATTGGAGTCACGCATCTTTGCGGGTGTGAAGGCGGCAAAGACAGTGAAAGAAGCAGGCAAATTTCGATGGCGGAGGGAGCTCATGAGTGCAGACTTGTTGAAGGCGCAGCAGGCTGAGGAGGATGCGGACAACTTGGTCAGGCTCCCCGACCGCGCGCTCAACTTCAGGCTTAAAGTCTTGGAGGGACTGGAGGCAAAGGGGCTGCAGGAAGACTGGGCTGACACTTGTGGGGCGGGCGTGCCCTACGAGTCCCCATCGGAGTACTTCAACGAGCTGGAAGGAGTTGTGATTGAGGCGGCGATGCAGGACTACATATCACCACCAGTGGCGGGGAAGAGGATAGGCGCAGTGTTCAGTGAGGAGACGGTGAAGTTGATTAGGTCGAAGCAGTGCTGGCAGTATCAACTGGCCGCCCCTCCTGACGGAGCTCGGTGGCTGTTGGCGCATTGTCAGTCCAGGTTCGACGCGGTGGCGAAGTTGGCGACAGCGGCTATCAGGAGTGAGTAACGGCAGAAGACCGCAGCACGGACGGAAGAAGCTGAGCGAGCGGCAGGTCAGAGAAATTTGAGGTGCCTCCACAACATCGTGAATAAGTTAGCTCCCAAGCCTGCGGCACCCATCATGACAGTGAAAGATCCAGACACAGGGCTGCCGTGTTTCGACGCTGAGGACGATCAGCGAGTGCGCATTCGGAGCATATGCGAGGTGTGCGACGGTCAGGCGATGGAACTGGACGGCAGACCCATCCAGGCAGGCAGGAATACGCGCGACGACGACAGGATTGGCAGCTACGGCATGGGGGCGGTGAAGGAGAGCATCATGGCGTTGCCCAACTTGAAGAGAGGACCCGCGCTTAGGTGGCCGAAAACTGGACCGCCTGGAGGCGCTGTTGCTGAATGATGGAAGCTGGCGGTTGGAACGCTTGCGCCGCCCATCCTGCAGGTCTTTAACGCGGCTCAGTCTCGGGGTGACGCCCCACAGAGGTTCAAGGACGGAGAAACCATGCAGCTGCGCAAGCCCAAGGGAGATGGTTGCTCGGCGCCGAGGGACTATCGCACCATCAACCTGATCAGCCATGTGGGGAAGGCGTATGCCAAGGTCACGTCGCTTGCGGCGATGAGGGAAGTGGCGCACAAGATTTCACCGACGCAGTTTGGAGCCATGCCAGGGAGAGGTACACGGGACGCAGTGGCAGTGGCAGGAGAAGTGATTGTACGCCATCAGCGAGCACATAGAGTAAAAAGAAGAGGAAGTTCGTCCAAACCACCGCCTATGCTGTTGGCAGTATTCACAAACATCGAGAAGGCATTCGACGGGGTGGTCAGGGAAAACATGTGGAGAAGCCTGGAGGCGCTTGAAGTTCGGTGGGATGCCCGAGTGACTTTGGAGGAGCTCCATGAAGGCATGTGCTACCTGTTCCGTGACGTTACCACTCATGAGCCTGTCGCGCGGATTTGGGTCAATCAAGGAGTGCACCAGGGAGGAGTTGAGAGTCCTGGGCTTTTCGTGGCTGTCTGTGATGGGATAGTGTATCGCATTTCGAACGAACTTCGACAACAGGAGGTTACTGCCATCAAGGTGCATTTCGATCCCTCGTTGAAGAAGATTCGGAACAATGACGGCTGGAAGGAGGACGAATGCGAGGAGCTGGATGTTTCGCAGCTAAAGTTATTGGACGACTTGCTCACGTTCGCACAGATTGAGGAGTACGACGATGCCCATCATACTGGGGGTGTTGCAAGACGAAATTAAAGCAGGAGGTATGCGCGTTAACACCAGGAAGACGGAGATGTTGCTCACGCCGACTGGAGTTGGGAGCAAGAGAAGGTTGAAGGATATTCGTGCGCAGAGCACAGGCATTGTGACGTGGGAAGGGGATGACTGTTTCCCGCTGCGCCCACAACAGACGGTCAAGTACTTGGGGGCGCAGCTGGCGGCGACGGGTACACGCCACGTGGAGGCCACCAACCGTGTCAGGGCCGCCAACTCCACCCATGCGCGCTTGCTGCGCCGTGCATGCAAGAGCGGGTTTAGCCCCAAGTTGAAGATCATAGTATGGAAGGCATTGGTACGTTCGGTGTGCTTATACTGCTTGGAGATCGCCAACCTCGCCAAGAGGGAGTTCAACAGGCTGGAGAGCTGGCAGGTGAGAAAACTTCGAGGACGATTGAATTCGCCAGCTCACCTGTACAAGAAGACCAATCGTGAGATCAGGAAGCAGGCCCGTGCTCCGACGGTTGCGAGCACGTTGTTGCTACGGAGACTGAGGTGGTGGAGAAAGGTGCGACGGCCGGCCTTCAGGGGGCCCCGTGACGACCTGTACGGCCCGACGCTGGCGGTCAGGGCAGTCGTCTTCGGTCGCTTCTCGTTCGAGCAGGTTGGCCATGGGGGAGCAGTCGGGCCTGCCGACGCTGCTGCTGGAGGACATGCGGCAGATGTGGCAGACTGTGGACGCGCAGGAGAAGCTCGCGGCCCGTCGGCTTGTTCTGTTGCATGGCGACTCTCCTGGGCTGGCTGAGCCTTGGCTGCGCTGGCTCGCCTTCCTTGAGCCGCGCAGTTTCCGCCGTGTGCTGACTTGCGGCGGTGAGAGGGACACTGTGACTGACACGGCAGCCATCGTGGCTGGAGTGCGACCTGCATGGGCAAAAATGCAATGGGGAAAAGGGGTTAGCTAATCACAAACACGCGGCCCATAAAGTTTATGCAAGCCCAGCAGCAGAAGCCCCCACAGAGATGGACTTGAATCTTAAGGTACGTCCTCACTGCCAGAAGTTATTTGCGAGAAAAGACGATGGTAAGACACGTTAAACAGAAACGTTGCACTGTCCGTTCCAGAGAAGTTGAGGCTCAAGCTAGACATTCAGAACCACCAGAGCTTGCTGCCCCTGCAGTGCCTGCACCTGCTGCGGTGGGCGATGTTCAAGCCGATAGGCGAGGCGCAAGTGACGGCGGGCAGCAACGAGAGCAAGAGGACGGCGGCAGAGGCAGGGGTCGTGGGCGACCAGCCCGACGTGGTGGGCCTTTTGGCCAAGGCGCTGGCGCGGCTGGCCTTGCAGCGCGAGGATATGGCGAGGTCGGCGCACAGGGGCGACAACTTCGTGATCCCGCTCAAGCCGACGCAGAAGATGGCGACCGCGCTGGGCCAGGCTCTGGCGTACTACGAGGAAGAGGGCACCAAGGCCAAGGAGAAGGCGAAGGAGAAGCAGGAGGAGTTCATGGGCAACCCACTCGGCAAGCGCCCCGACGCGCTGGCGAGGGCAGTTATGTTCCGCATGTCGGAGGCCGTAGAGGACAAGAAAGATGCAGTGCTGGCGGCCGTGGAACAGGGCATCGAACCGCAGGCCGCCAAGGCCGCGCTGGACGAACTCTTGAAGGTTGGGAAGATGGTGCAGGACCCGCAGATGAAGTTCGCGGCGACGAGGTGTTTCAAAGTGAAGAGCAAGAACGACGAGGAGGGCCTAAAGGCAAGAGAGTGCAAATGGATCTTTGCGGTGAACTACTACCCAGGGCTGAAGGAGTCGCTGAATCTGCTGAGGCGCAATGGCGCACTGGCCGCTGTTGGGGCGGGTCTCCAGTGCGACGTCGCGACGAGGTCCAAGGCGGCGAAGGAAGCGGAGTCGTTGGCGTTCAAGGGCGGCAAGGGTACGCAGACGAGCAGGAGCAAGAAGCTCAGGAAGAAGTAGGAGCTCGAGCGCCGCCACCTGCTCTGGCCGCAACTGCGACGCCCACAGCTGCGACGCCAGCACCTACACCAGCATCGGCGCCAACACCAACGAGTCATGGGAGAGGCTTTGCCGCTGCCGTCGAGAATAGTACTCCTCCCTCCGCCTCGACCTCGCCTTTTCACCTCCCCCCCCCCTCTTCCGACCACAACACAGCTCGAGAAATACTTTCGCAGGGGGCCACGCTAAGAATGTGGTGGACCTTTTGCGCCTTTCTCCCCACCAGAGGGGGGGGGGGGGCGCCCCCGCATGTGCCACTCCCGCAGGGGTGGGGGCGCGCGGGCGCGGGGCTGAGGCCAGTCGGGCCTGCCGCTCTGCACCCGCTGTCCGTTCCAGGGCCTCGTTTCCGATGTTGAAACGCGCCGCGTCGTTTTCACGGTTGTGCTGAAGCCCCCGCTAAACTTCCAAGGCTAAGGGAGTCGCGTTGAAAAAAGTGGAAGCTCAGCGGAAGCTGGCATGTTGTTGGTTATTATGTTCTTCTGTCTGCCCACCTCGCTTACCTCCTTTTCCTGCTTCTCCACGTTCCGCCGGCAACTTGGTCCTAGGTGAGATCAGGTCATCAGTGCTGGAACAATTGTTGTTCCCACCCCCCCTCCCCCCCTCCCCCTTCCCCCGCCAGTGCTGGGCACAGAGCCAAGAAACTAGCCAGGCCTGAAGAGAGAGGAATCGATGTCTTGGGACGTCGGCCGAGACGTTTCAACTTGAGGGGGCCGCGAGCCCAATTGTGAAGTTCAGTCACCAGGCTTTTGGGATGTTTCAGGCGAAAGCGTCATGTTTGACGCCCAGCGTCGAACAATTACTCCTTCAACACAGCATGAGCCGCAAGAGCCCTACGAGCCCCGGGTGCAGCACGAGCCATTCAGCCCTACGTCCCCACAGGCCACATGAACCCCACGAGCCCCACAGGTCCATGAGCCCCACGACCCCCACAGGCTCACTAACACCATCGACCTCGTGAGCCTTTCTGGCCTCGTGGCCCCCATTTGCCACCTTGGCCCCGTGTGCCTTCCCATGGGCCTCCGGGGCGGCAGAGGCGCAGAGGCGCCGCCCGCCCACAGAATGCCCATCAAGGCTTCTTCGGGGCAGCCTGCTCATAGATTCCATGTCTTTGTGATTGCTGGTCGTGTTTCTTCCATGATGGATTGGTCTTTGGGCGGTCTCTCTCCTTGGGGCAGTTTAAAGGCCCAGGCGAAGCACAACCATAGAATGCCCTTCCGGGCGGCCCGCCCATGGAAAGCCCTTCGGAGCCGTCCGCCCACAGCATGCCCTTCGGAGCTCTCCTGTTGCTTCCAGTCCGTCAGGAGGCGTCGCCGAGCAGTGCGTCTCTTGACCGCTTGAACATCCCTGGGGTGCTCCGAAAGGGCGCAGCGCGGGCGAACGGCCTCCTGACGGGCACGCCGTGGGCGGACGTCCCCGGATGGCGCTGTTGGTGGACGGCGACTTCCGCCGCCTCTGGTTGTACAGTATTTACACAGCCCATTCCTAATTATTCGAGAGTTTTCTGTTTCTTTGGGGGCAAGATCCTTTTATGTCTAATTGTTCTATCCTGGGCCTCTTCCTGGCCACTAGGGGGCCAGGAACAATTAGAAACGAACGCAATTTGAAATGAGCGCGATTAGAAATGAACGACGTGTACACTTCCTCGAGGCTCAAGAGACGGGGATCGATGCAAACTGGGGTCAACCAGAGCGCAGGACCTTGTAGGACCCTTCAGAGCCAGGGTTGCATTGACCCGGGCTTGGGCACAGGATTCTGCAGGATCTTGCAGGATCCTGCAAGGCCTGACTGACCTGGGCTTGGATTGACTCAGGTCAGTACGTCCCCGACCTCTGCGCGCGAAGCGCGCTAAACGGTTTTGCAGTGAAAATTCATTGGACGGACGGGTAAGCTTCCCAAGGGCACCCTTGCGCCCTTAGATCTGTCGGGCAGTGCGCCGCCAGAAAAGCTTCAACTGGGGCGTCCAAGCACCGTCCAAGGGTCTTGCGTCCTTGCAACGCGTCCTTACTACAGACTTCGACTTCACATGGTTCACACCTCCGCGCGAAGCGCGCGAAGCGGCTTACAGTAGGACTACCTCCGCGCGCGAGGCGCGCAAATCAGTCTACAATACCTACACCTCCGCGAGCGCAGCGCGCCAAACGGCCTACAATGCGTTCCCCCTCCGCGCGCAGAACCGCGCGAAACGTGTCTCGGCGCTGCGACCTTGGAAGCCGAGACATGCCTTCGTGCTCGGGCCCGCGGCGGCCAGTTCTCTCCGCTGCGGGGCCCGAGAGCGGGGACGTCTTTCAGCTTTTGTCCACGAGTGCGAGCACATGTTGCCGCTTCGCGGGCGCGAGATCCAGTGCATGCTTCAGCTTCCGGGCCCGAGGTGTCTCCGTTTCCTTCGGCCCGAGGCGGCGACATGTCTCCGCATGTCTTTGCTGGTCTCTGTTTGTTTCTGCTTGTTTATGTTTGTTTGTGGGATGTCTTCGTCTCTCTGGCCCGAGCGCAGAGATTCGTTTCCGCTGTTCGGCCCGAGAGCGGAGACGTTTGTTCGCCTCGGGGCCCACAGCGGTGACGTATCTCCGCTTTCGGGCCGACACACGACGACACGTTTCCGCGTTCGGCCCCCCGAGTTTGCGTTTGCTGGCCCGCAAGCGGAGACACGTCGTCGGTTCGGAGCCGAAAGCTGAGACCGTCTGTCCGCCTCTCGGGCCCGCAAGCGGAGGCGTCTCGTCGCCTCGGGCCCACAGCCGGAGAGATGCCTTGTTGTTCGGCCCCGATGTTGGCGTTTTCGGGTCCGAAAGCGGAGACAGCTCGTCGCTTCGGGGCCAACAACAGACACGTGTTTCCGCCTTCGGGCCTGACAGCCGCGATCTTTCTTCGCCTCGGGCCCAAAAGCGGAGACATGTTTCAGTTCTTTGAACCTGCGAGTTGTTTCCGTTTTCGGGCCCACACGCGGAGACATGTTTCAGCTTCCGCTCCGAAGCGACGAAATGTCTCCGCTTTCGGGTCAGAAAAAAGCAAACATTGGGGCCGAACGCGGAGACATGTTTCCGTGTGTTGGCCCAAAATCAGAGACATGTCTGCCGTTTGGAATCCCGAGGCGAACACACGTCTTCGCTCTCAGGCCGAACAGCGGAGACACGTCCCCGTTGTCGGGCCAAAAACGGAGACATCCCACAAACAAACAAAGAGAACCAGAGGCAATAGAGACACCCAGCGGCACACAGAGACATTCAGAGACAAACGGAAAGACACATAGACAAACAGAGACAACCAGAGACATGCCAGACACAAACAGGAATGTCCATAAACAAGCAGGGACATACATAGACAAGTCGAGACATCCCGAGACACCCCATATACATCCAGAGATATCCCACCAAGACATCCACGGACATCCCAGAGACACAGAGACCCCAGGCACAAACAGGCATTCTAGAGACAAGCGGGGACAAGCAGAGACACATAGAGACACCAACAGACAAACAGAGACACCCACAGTCACCGACATCCTCAGGTGCCCTTAAAGCGCAGCAGGTATAGACGAACCTTGTTCAAACAGCGCTCAGCTTGCACTTGTATAGCGTACCGCTCGCCAGTGTACCAAACCAAATACAACATGACAGCAACATCATGTGGCTAATGTAGTACAACTAAGCATGAACCCTTGTGAAACTACCTAGTAAACGCCGTCCATCGTGTCTTCTGTACATGTGCGCAATGACAGATGCATTCGGCCCTACGGGTGTATGATTCACATACATGATTTACATGCGCGTTTCAAGCATATTACGCACCGTATACTTACAGTTTACAGATATGCATCGTGAAACGGGTGTTCCAGTCATACGTGTTCTGTGTAACATCTGATGGGGCGCGCAAACGCCCCCCCCCCATATGTCCACCCCGTTGGCTTCGCCCCGTCAATCACTCTTGTAGGTCCCGCGGGCCCCGTCCAGCGGCTGCCCGACAGTTCCCTTCTCGGCGGTTTTCTGCAGCATAATTCTCTCAGTGGGCCTCCCTTGCCCGCTCTGACATTACACAGATATAGACCTCTTACCTGTCGTGGCCGGGGGCAGTGGATTCTGGGGCCCTCGTGGCACCCTGGAGCCCATAAGGACCCTCTTAGGCCCCTCGACGGGGGGCCTCATGGTCAGGCCAGTGGCCCCCTCATGAGCACTTGGGCCTTTCGTGGGCGCTCAAAGTTTGGCCCCCATGGGGCGTTCATGGGCATTCGATCACCTCGGCGTCCCTTCACTTGGCCTCGCGCACTTGACACATCGTAACACAACGCGCGTTCTGCACTGCTCGCGCGCACGCGCTTGTTCTGGCGTGCGCAACACAAGCATCAATGAGCAACAACATTTTGACCTCGAGCATTGAATTGTGAAAGCAAGTTGTTGCACTCGTATTCCGAGGGTTCAAGTGCGAAGCAATACGCTGTAACGCAATTCGAGTTCTTTGTTCGCGCGTGTGAGCGCACGCGCGCGCTATGGCGCGTGCAGTGCAAAAGTCAATGTAGCGAATAGCCAGCCCAACTGCGAGAATTGATTGTTGAGAGCCAGTTGTGTCGTTTGTACTCTGAGGTCCTCGACGTGGCATGCTGAATTGTGGCGCAATGCAGTTTCCTCATTGCCCACGCGCGCGCGTGCGCTGAGGGGCGCTTTGTATCGCGCAATTATGATATGTCATGTTCGACACCCCTGGAATTCGAGTGGTATAATTAGTCTCCAACATCCAGGTTTCAACCGTAAAGTGTGTTTGTTGATTTAGCACATCGCGCGCATAGTTGCGAACAGTAAGGAACCCGTGTCGTTACACAATCCATCGCCTCATGTTGGGGTCAGAAAAACACGAGCGAACTTATTGGCTCGCATCATTCAAGTTGAGGCCCAGAACATTTTCATCGCGCGTGATTGATGTTCGCGCAGCGCCGCGCGCGCGCGCCGCAGCGCTCCGCGCGTGC